TTACTCAATGAATCATAAACAACTCTGAAAATGATAATTGTATCTAATGGAGAGAGTGGAGTTCTAATGTTTGGAATGATTCTATTCTTTACATTTTTAACCCAAAATTTAACAATACAGTCCTTAATTATTGAAATACCTGAAGGAACAGAATCTGCACCAAAGCCAATATCTTCAGCCTCAACTTTCATATTTTCATTTGATCTCAACTCTAGTAACTCCTCAATAGCAGAGGATACTCTTAAAAATATCATTTTGAGACCATCTAATGATTCTTTGGCTGGATTCTCTTTCAATACGTAATCATCTATTGTAATTTTGAATTTTTGGAGATGATTAAAATCAATATTTAACCAAGAATTATCTTCATCATCATCGTTTCTACTTTTAACATATTGAATTAAGGATTCCAAAATAGCTGAGAAAATGTCAGTTTCATGATAAGCATATGTGTCCGTATCATTCTCCAAGTAATAAGTAATTTGATTAGGAATAACCTCAAATTAATAAATGAACACTGGCACTGTTGCGGTGGGTACTATCTCCAATGGATTACAGTCCAGTGGATGGTCAACTATGTACATATACTTGCATCAAAAGGAGTATTTTCAAACATTAAAGATGAAGTATTAATATAAAATAAAGGTTCTTCAGAATTAATATCCTTTGGGTCAATATCTAAACCTTTAGTTTAAGGATCATCATTAATAAGCGATCAATTGCTGATCTTTATTTCTCTGATTTTACTCCAAAATAAGTGGCAATCAAACCACTTGCAGCAGTTAATCCAATCAAGGAAAACAACTTGCTACTACTTTCGAATTCATTTTCTGATAAGAACAGAGTCACCAATGCAATACTGCTCAATATGTTGGCACAAGTACAACCAAAACCAGTTGGCCAACCAACACCCCAATTCCACTGATAGGCAGCTCCAAAAAATAGACCTAACAATCCACTCGTTATTGGACAAACAATGAATGGAGATAATGTGAAAAATTTACAAGCTAGTAGGAAGGTTGGAGCCGAGAGTATTAAACCACTTCCCAAACCAAAGGCAAATGCATATGAGGTCATTTTTTTATTCTATTCTTACTAATCCTTCCGAAATTTGGAACTGTGCACACGTTTGTTTTGATGTTACAAACATCGTTATTGAGAACTTCTCAAGAATTTTATCTGAACTTCTCTAAACAATCAAAATAGAAAAAGAGACTTTGTTAAATAATTGTACAAATATAACCACACAAGAATTTATTTCGCAATTAATTGCGAGTTCAGTGATCATACGTTGAGCACTGAGGGGTCTGTCTGTTATGGCATGACAGAGAATTTAGTTTAACTTAGGGGAATGTTGGTTTGGAGTTTGTAATTTCATTCACAAGAATTTACTTCTTGTGTAAAGAATCCAAACATTGCTTAAAGTAAGCAGGATCCAATTGAAGAAGTCTAGTGGAAAGCAAATCGAGAGATCTCTTTCTATCACTCTCAGTTAATTTCATGCTAAATCCAACAAGTTCTTCAACGCAATTCTCAAATTCTTCAAAACTGTTCAAGACAAGATTATTTGAAGGTGGAACTGCGGGTATTGGTTGTGGAGGTTCTTGTGATGAGGAGGTTGTTGTTGTACGTTTCTTCTTCTTATTTTGTGATGGTTTTCTTGCATAAACTTTAAAAGCGGCTGATCTTAATGTCATGATTGGATTCTCCAAATCAGATGGGACATAATAATTAATCTGCCAACAAAAGTTAATCTTTTTATGGTGATATGAAACAGTACTAGATTGCACTTTCAAAACACCATTATATTCTTCGCAAGTAGAAGTTTCCTTATTCTTTGAATTCTTACTTTCAGGTTTTTTAGTTAAAGCAGATTCAACTACACCTTTCAAAACAGGATTTGATTTGTTATCTTGTTGAATTTCTTCAAAGGTTTGAGAATCGACCATACTAATTCTACCCAGCAAGAATGGTAAATCTTCTTTAACAGTATTCTTATTCAACATTGCTTGTTGTCTGATTTCATATTTCAAACTAGAATATAGTTTAGTTGGAACTTGTTCACAAGGTTCTTCACATCTAGTTTTACTTGTAATTGAAATTGAAAGTTTACCAGCAAACTTTTCACTTGTTTGAACAACTTTCCAACTTCTATCACCTTGATTTAGTAAATCAGAACAATTATCATCTTCTTCTTCATCATCACAAATAGATTCTTCTTCTTCCTTTTTACGTTTTGGAGCTGACTTTCTCTTCTTTTCAGTTTTAACTTGTGTTGTACTTAATGTGTTTGTAACAAGTTTTTTAGCTTTAGGAAGTGAATTTGTAACATCAGGAACTTGAAGTGTTAAAGATAAATTTGATCTCTTTGATAAAGTTGGTGATTCATCTGAAAGAGGACTTGTATTATTGGAAGAACTGCAAGAGGATGATGAAAAGTCAAAAGAAATTAATTCAGTATTCGAAGGGCTAAATAAATGAACCATATCTAATAATTGATCATGTTGTTGTTGTTGATGGTGCTGATGATGGTGGTGATGGTATGATTGAGCAATTTGAGTAGTACTTTCAAGTAAATGATCGAAAACGTCATTGAAATTTCGTTCAAAAGTGCCACCTTCATCAATTCTACAGAATGAAGAAGTTGGAGTGTTACCTCTTGATGGAGAGAAGAAGTTAGAGAAGGCAGAAGATGGAGTAAGGAAGAGTGGTGAAATGGTATGAATTGAGGAGCTCATGGTTAGTAAATTGGTTGATTGATTGAATGAATTGGAGGTAGTTTGATTAGACACTTTGTTAGTGGTGGTATTGATACTATTATTTGTTGGGATACAATAATCAAATGCTTGATTAGGTAGTGGGATTGGGATTTTGGTAGAGGTAAAAAATTTAGCGATTTTGGGGTTTTTTGTCGTTGCGACTTTTTTTCTTCGTTTCGTTGATTATTAGCTAGCTTCAATATCGAACTTGATTATTAATAGACTCGTTTTAAAAATAACTCAAAGAGAAAATTTGTCTTCAGCTTTCAACGCCAAGTACAAGGCTTGTTCCAGCCCGTTACAAAATCTGCGTTGACTGGTCTAAAAATAAAGAACCAATGAAAAATTGAGAGCGCCAAAAATTGAGTGGACAGGTAAGTAACTGCTCAAACTCGAAATGCCACTTTACAGCAGAAAAAATATTTTCTTTCATTTTCTCTCTGCAGAGCAATATTTTACAACCAAAATTTTAATTTGGACAAATGCCATTTTCAAACCCATTACTTCTAATATTTTCACAAGCATTTCAAGAATGAGATTTTTTCTGATACAAAGAAAAAGAAAGAAGCATGTGTGAAATTGGAATGAAAATAGCTGAACAGCATGAAAACATGTGAATAAGGGAGGATTAAATTGTGTGCGGATGAGCTGTGGAGAGGAGCGAACAACAGCACAGAGGACATTCCAAATACACATGTGTTATCCTCCTAAACAATACACATGTTCACTAATAGTAAGAGATACATCATGTGCGTCCTTAATATTCCTTATGAGAGTAGTAGTAACATTTTGTCCTCAAAGGATTTTGTGGAAGAGGGAATTGAGTCTCTCTAAATATGAAGCCTTCCAGTTTGTATTTGTATCAGAAATTTAACAACTATCGATAAGTATTCCTTAATTTAAGTATATGAATGGCTACGGCCATATCACGATGAATGCACCTCATCCCGTCCGATTTGAGAAGTTAAGCATCGTCGAGCCACATCAGTACTGAGGTTGGAGACAACTTGGGAACCTGTGGTGCTGTAGTCTTTTTACCTTAATAACTTTTAATAACTTGAGTGTTAAAAACTGGAGAAGTTTTCACATTCACTTTAATTTCTCACCAAAACAGACTATCTTTCATGTGAGACATCACAAAAGTACTGTTTTCATATTTTTGGAAATTTTCTAAATTGGGAAACCATTGTTTTCATTAATACGAAAAAAATGATTCGAGGAACAAAGAAGATTTTTAAACAAGCCAGTAACAAGATTAAATTCTGGTTTCAAGGAAAGACTTTGGACAATTATTTCACCCTGAAAAATCCTCATCATCATGATCAGATTAATGAAATCGAAAGATCAACTGAAGGAAACACCAAATATTGGATCCAAATTACCTTGTACTATCTGTTGGAGTATTTAATTCCCTTGCTTTGTTTAGCACTCATATTTTCAGTTCTATTTTCTGGAATTCCCACTTATTCAGTGCCTTACTTTAGCTTGGACGATCCTGAATTGAGTTATCCAATTATTTTCAACTCGAGTGGTGGAGTTTATGATAATTTGCCACTGTGGTTTGTTGCTGTGGTGTTAGTGTTTGCAATTCCAGTGTGTACATTTGTGCTTTTTCACTTGTTATTTATGAGGAACTTACCAGACTTTCATCACGCCATACTTGGATATATTCAAACTATAGCTCTTGCTATGGCAATGGTGGCATTTGGATGGCTTTGTTACGGATCATACAGACCTACATTTTTACAGGAATGTCAACCAGACACTTCCAAAAGTGAATCAACAATATCAGACAAGGCACCTCTCCAAAAATTCGTAAATATTCTCAAGTATTTTAAACCGAATCAGATATGCAAAGATCCTTCCAGATTCACACTTGGTTCACCTTCTGCAACTCCTGGTTTTCCCTCAGGACATATTGCCTCAGTAATGTCTGTTTGGGTCTTCTTTCTATTATATTATGCAGCCAAAGCAAATGTAAGTTTCATTTTCAAAATATATATAGTGACCTTTATTAAAGACATGGAACAGAAGAAGAGGACAATTCTTCAAAGTCATCCTATTCTTCCTCCTATTTCTGGTACCAGTTTGGGTGGGTATGACGAGAATTGTAACGAATAGACATACTGTAGCTCAGGTCATTGTTGGTGCCTTAATTGGCATTTTTTCTGCACTATTAGTTTACAGATACAAGTATTGCTCACTATTTGGTGTTGATGCCAAAACTCCAAATTACTATTTGTGGTATAAATTGTATCCTCAAAAGAATCCACAAGTTGAAACTTCCCTCCATCCAAATACCATTCCATAAGATGATGAAAATCCAATAGAAGGATAATTAGGATTATTTATTTCTATACTTATTTACAATTAAAATGATAAACTTTGGTCAACTAACTTGGTTTAGAAACATTTTCTGCGAACAATTACACAGCCAGCTTCTTCATATTCCTCTGCTGTTATCCACATGGGTTGAAAGGTAGATAATGAGGATAGAATACTACCACCAATCCAAACAGAATATTTTCTTTCAGGTGGAGCAACAACTTTAATCCTCGTTGAGGCTGGAGCCATAGCTGCCAATTCCTTATTCATTCTCTCATCAATTCCTCCAAACATGGTTGTACCGCCTGAAAGTACAACATTGACATATAAATCCTTTCTAATATCAATATCACATTTTCCAATGGAATTGAAAGTTGTTTCGTGAATACCAGCAGCTTCCATTCCAATAAATTTTGGTTGGAATAATACTTCTGGACATCTAAATCTCTCGTTACCAACTGTGATAACGTTACCATCTGGTAATTCATAAGAGGCTTCAATGGATGAGCTATCAGATGCTTTCTTCATTTCAGTTTCAAAATCAAAGGCAACATAACAAAGTTTTTCCTTAATATCTCTGACAATTTCACATTCAGCACTGGTGTTGAAACTGTATCCACGTTCCATCAAGATTTTCATCAAGTAATCAGTCAAATCACGACCTGCTAAATCCAATCTCAAAATGGCCTGAGGCAAAGCATAACCTTCATCGATTGGAACAGTATGTGAAACACCATCACCTGAATCCAATACAATACCAGTACTTCTACCAGAAGCATACAAGGACAATACAGCTTGAATGGCCACATACATGGCTGGAACTCTAAAGGTTTCGAACATGATTTGAGTCATCTTCTCACGATTTGCCTTTGGATTCAAAGGAGCTTCAGTCAATAAGACACCATGCTCTTCAGGTCCAACTCTCAATTCATTATAGAATGTATGATGCCAAATCTTTTCAATATCATCCCAGTTGGTAATGATTCCATGCTCAATTGGATATTTCAGAGTGATAGTACCCTTCTTGGACATGGCTTCATCTCCGACATAGGCATCCTTGTACCTAACACCAACCATAATTGACCTTTGTTTGGGTCTACCAATCAATGATGGGAAAACAGCACGAGGAGCATCTTCACCTGCGAAACCTGCTTTACACATTCCAGAACCATTGTCAATAACGAGAGGTCGATGTTCTTCCATTTTGTTTGCAGTATAAACTTGTTTTTGAGTCTTTTTATATATTGTTTGTGAAAATATCTCAATTGTAAGCTCTGGATTTAGTTTGTCTTCAAATACTAAACCATTGTTCACTGTTCCTTGTCCTCAACTTTGAATTACAGTAAAATATTACATCTCATTCTGTTTTAATCTTTATAATTTTCACAGATACATTATTCATGAAGAAGAAAATCAAAGTTTGAATAAGAAAATCAAAGTTTAATTAAAAGAAAGCAGCAAGAATTAAACCAATCAAAACAGTCAAAGCACTAATTGACAAATTAGCAGCTCCATTACATTGAAGTGAAATACCAAATAAACAACTAGCAGTTTCAATAGGTTGTGATTCTTGAACAGTTGCACAATTCTTATCAGCATATTGAACCCTTTGACTACATCCAATATATTTAACAGAACCATAGGTTTGATTATTGACAGGAATACATGTATTGAGAGCAAATGATGATGCAGTAGTAGTAGCTTGCTTACAAGAAATATCAGAATAAGTAGTAATCATATAATATCCATTACTTGGTGAAGTTGGAATGGAATTGATACATTCAGTTTTAACACTGTATCCTTCAACACCATTGGAAGCACCTAAACATCCAGTTGTTGCACAAATACCAATAGCAAGTGTATAAATATTGGCAACATTTTGGGAGGAGGAACAAGTAGTACCACGATAAGTGGCATATGATTGGACAGATTGACCTTGTGTGAAACAAATGAGAGCAAGCATAACAGCTGCAATGAGAAGGAATTGACGGTTCATCATTATTGTTATCTAGACGTTTTTTTTAACGAGTGTGTGAAATCTAGTTGAAATCTTGCAAGCTTTATTTCCTTGTGATTGGTGTGACATTTCTAAATGTTTACTAAATAGCATCAAATGTCGATATGGTTGATACATTGTAAAAAAGTATGAAACACCTCTTACGCATAGCGGGATTATAATTGTAGACTATTTATTCCCCTCTTTTTACAATTATGAAAGATTTTATTGACTTCTAGATAAAATTTGTTTCCTCAATAGAAATCACAATAAAACAGAAATCCTAACAATACAAATTTTTTTAAATCAAATATCCAAAAATTGATTAGCCTTAACAATACTATTCATCTCAAAAATAGAAGACACATATTTCTGAGGCCAAACGATCCAAAATACTTGTTGTGGACTATTCTAATTAGCTCTACACCTCAATACTTGAAATGCATTGTGTTAACATGTTTTTCACTTAGATAGGTTAGCCAGTGAAGTGTTGGGAATGATAGTCAACTACATCTGGTTCAAAAACATCAATGTTTATTCATGTATTCTTATCCATTCACTTCAATACAGAGCCAATATTTCACGTCACTTATCAACATCACATCCAAAAATTATCGATCAAAAAAATAACCATCACATCTCTGCCTTCATCAAGTACACACTTTTTTAACAACAACAGTAGCAAACAAAAGTAAATAATGAATCAAATAGAAGCAGGGTTAGAACCAAGTACCTCATCAAATCTTGGACCAAAAGGAATTGAACGTTTAGAAACAGATTTTACCGAAATTAAACGAATCACTGATCCATCACAAATTCGTGAAAGAAGAGAAAAAGAAGGTAAAGAACAAGAACGTTTATCAAAATTTGAACTCTCCTTTCAACTTCAACCATTTTATGGTAATGAAATTCCTGAAGATCACCTGATTCAAATAATTGTTGCTGAATATAATTATAGTTTAAAGAAATATTCAATTATTGGAACAACAGAATGTATGAAACAAATTTATTGTGAGAATAAGGAGGAACGTATCATGTTGGGTGATTATAATTTTGTTAAACCAATTTCTAGAACTTTTCAATTTGGTTGCGTTCAGAAAATGAAAATTTTCATTCGTTTTGTTTCACCTAAAGATGCAAAACAATTAACTTCACAATCACAATCATTTTCACAAAGTTTTTACAAGTACAATAATCAAATGGGTTCATCACATAATGTACTAGTTGAAAATGATGAATCAGAATCTTCAAGTAATTTATTTGGAATTCCAAATCAAAAATATGAACTAGTAGAAGAATCTGATGCAAGAATTGTAATGGAATCTGATGAATTTACCATTGCTGATTTATTAATGACAGTTCCACACACTGGAATGTCAACTCGTGAAATGATGGATTTTAGAACTCATGCTCGTGTTATTCAATTCTCTAAACTTCATAATAATTTTATAATTGATAAGAAGAAATCCGATGTTTCATTGGATTCAAAACTTCCACGTGTTATTGTTTCATTGATAACACCAGCTCCTCGTGAACATATTGTTGAGAGAGAAACAACTGAATCTGGTACTCAAATTATTTTGAAGAATATTTCTGAATATGGTGAAGTTGAATCAAAGAGAATGTCAATTACTCTTCGTCTTCAAATTAGAGATGCTCCAATTCTTGATAGATTCTCTTCAAGTTGTTCTCCTTATTTTATTGTTTATAAGGATGGTGTTAAATTTAAACAAAGATTATACACAAGTGAAATTAAGAAGAAATCTCCAAATTCTACCTATAGAGTTTTCTCATTTGGTTTGGAAGGTGAAAGATCTCTCGATAAGTCCATGTTAATTGAATGGTGGCATTTTAATGAGTTTGGAAAGAATGAATTCATTGGTATTGTTCGTACTGATATTTTAGATATGAGAGAACATCAAACTTGTGAATTTAAAATTGTTAACCCAGATACTCCAAATGCTTTCCGTGGTACAATGCATGTTTTGAAATATGAAGAAAGAATTTGGATGATTGAGGATGTTAATCAAAAATTCAAATCTAAAAAGACTGGTGAAATGAAAATTCAATCCTATCGCTTATTTAAGAATGATTTCTCAATTATGAATTATTTGGGTTATTATGAAATGAGATTGTGTTTTGGTATTGATTTAACCTCAACAAATGGTATTCAACCAACTTCAAACAAGCGTTCTCTCCATTACATTGGTGCTACGAGTGAAGAGAGAAAATCTCCAAATCCACTCAATCCATATGAGAAATGTATGGTTGGTATTATGCGTGCAGTTTATCAATATGGTTATCAACGCGAAATGAAAATGTATGGTTTTGGTGCTCTAGCTCCAAATGTTGTCTTTGAAATGCAAGAGAAGAAACGTGTTGCTCGTGAATCAGGCATTCGTGATGAAAAGACCATGCTCCACACCTATCGTAGAACTGTAAAGAAGGTTCTCTTGGGATTGGAAAATAATTTTACCAAAATTATTGCTGAAGTTGCTGCTTTTGCTGAACGTTTGAATCACTACTTTATCTGCGTTATTATTACAGATGGTGATGAAGGTATCAATAGAAAGTTAACATTACAACTCTTGAAACAATCACAACTCTGTGGTGTTTCGTTTGTATTTGTTGGAGTTGGTAACAAGTCTCTATTCAAGAATTTGATGAGCTTCCAAACCAATTGTCGTAACGTAACTTTTGTCAAGTATAATGATAATATGGAATTGAATGCCATGAATGCTCTCAGAGAAGTTCAACAACATGCCAGAGAATATTTGGCACAAAGAAAAATTGTACCAGAAGAGTACTAAATCCTCAATATCAATATCACCAATAAAATCATTTGTCTTGTGAAAGCTCATCTCTGGCTACTCTTTCAATTTGCCCTTGGTTAAATCTTGATTTTCTTCTTCAATATTTTGAACTCTGTGAATTTGATTGATAATTCTGGAGGCCAGTTGTGGAGAGGCTTTATGCAAAACATATTCGAAAATTCTGTGAGTTTCTTTAAGTGTTGTAATTCTTTCCTTTTGTTTTTCAATTGTTGTTTGTTGATCCTTAATTTGATTTTCATATTTTGAAATTGTTTCATTGAGTTGTGCAATTTCACCATCTTTCTTCTCCATATCATGCTTTAAATTTTCAACATTTTTCTGTGTATCTTGTAATGCTTGTTCCAAATTTTGAATTCTATTCCTACAGGTATCAATAGTTTTTTCGCATATTTGAATTTCTTCAGTTGCCAAATTCAAATTTCTTGATTGTACCAAATATTGAGCCTCAAAATGTTCTTTCTGTTTACTTAATTCGATGTTATGCCTTGAAGCAGCTCTTGATATTTCAATTTCATTGTTTAATCTTTCCGAAGCAATATGTAAATCATGTTGTCTTTGTCTTGAAATATGTTCCAATTGATAAATTCTCTCATTCATCATTGATTGTGTTTTTGATTCAAAAATAGATGAAACTCCATAACTGAACAAAGCTCCAACAATGAATGATAATACTCCAGTGGCTCCAATCACATTTATATGTTTCAAACACCATGGTTGATCGGATTTTTCATCATTTGACTGAATTGATCCTTCCTCTCCATTATTTTTCTCTCCATTAATTTCCTCTAAATTATTCTCTCCATTATTTTCAATAATATTTTCATTGGTTGTATCTTCTTCCTTCAAATTTCCATCACTTGTACCTTCTCCGAATGAAGAAACATCTTCAAAGCCTAAAGATGACGACAAGGAATCGTCAGCCATTTTTTATTAATTTTAAATTTAAAAAAAATACATAAAAAAGCCTTTTGATTTCAGCTTGTTGATTTTAATATCATCATATAATGTATTATTGATGATTTCTATCGGATGAGAGTGAAATTAATATGACAAATCAATTTACCAATTGGATAAATTCTAGTCAATTAAATTATGTAATTAAAATTATAAAGTGGATATTTAATTTCTTGAATGGATTGTTGAATGGTGTACAATGGAATTTTATTACGTACAAACAACAGAAAGAGGAATATAGGAAAATTAAGGAGCATAACAAATCAAATATTATTGATTTTGGGTTGGATCCAAGATGGCAACAAATCAGTGAGAATACATACAAATTTAATTTTGATAGACAAGCACTCGATCAAATACGTCAAACTTTTCAAAACACAAATGAAAAATTGAGCTCTATTTCTATTAACCAATTGATTGCAGATATTCAACATTTGAGTGGAAAGCTCAATTTTTCCACAACTGTTCAATCTCAATGGAAATCTTCGAGCAATTTACTAGGAAATCAAAAACAAAGAAAATTGAGACAGATCAAACATGATTTGTATATGGCAAAGAGAAGAAATATTTTCAGAGAAAAGGTTTATGAGCAAAAGTATTTCATTTTGAATGGTAAAAAACCTCCACCAAACTCCAGTAATTCACAAGATGACCTAATGATCCATGTTTATAAAACACAATTAGATAAGGAGAGAAATCAAAAGAAGGAATTTCACATTATTCAAGACTTTGATTTCATTGACCAATATTTTAAGGAAATACTTCAAGATTCCATTGAAATCGAATATGAACAATCTGTGTTTACACAAAAATCCATGCAAGATATTGAACAAGAAAACGAAACACTCAATCAACTCATTCGTTCATACTTTTTTGATGTCAAGCAAAGAGACGAAGCAATGAGAAGAACCAACAGAGAAATATTCAAAGAACATGAAGATGATCCATTCCTATTGGCCTTCCCTGAATTTGATTCACCTTCCTCACGTGAAAACCCTTTCTATGACTCGACAGCAACTCTTTCACCAGCAACCTCTTTCCTACCTAAACTTTCAACACTCTCAATGAAGACTGAAATAGATAGAGAAAGAAGGAGAAGTCTTTTATTGTCATCCCCTTCTTCATTGAATAATGCCTCCTCTCCAACTACTCCTGAGGATGAACGACAAACATCAAGCAACACCAATGCCCCATCATTGTCATCACTTGATGCAATTAGAATAGAGCAAGTTAAAAACATTGAACATGAACGTGTTGCTTCTCTCCTCTCAACACTCATGATGAACGATGATAGAATGAAGAGAAATACTTCTTCCTACTATATTCAACAACAAAGTCCCCTCTTGAGTGAAGAAGGCTTTATGAATCAGGACACTAATGAAAATTATTCGGAAGGAAATTAACTTTTATTTTTTAATTTCATTGCTGAACAGCCAAGTACCAATCAATCATCATGGTATTTAAATTATTCAACCCAATAGTATCAACAGAATAGCAACACCTAATTACACTAGTGAACATTCATCACATAAATTAAAGAGAATTAGATAATAATTAATAAAGAATTAATTAAAAAGCTTCATTTAGAATGTTGTAAACTTGCAGAAAAAAAAATGATGTCCCTCTACAGCGGTAATATCCGTGCCAACAACAATAATAAGAACAACAAGAAGGTTTCCTCTCCATTGTTGTCTGTTATTGCTACTCTTCAAAACAAACAAGCCGAATTCCATACAAACAACATTTCTAGTAATAGTTCTGACCAACCGGACTGGTCTTTCTGGGTCAACAAGGAATCATCTAAACAAGCCGAAAAATCTTCAACATCTCAAAGTCTTTTTGATTTAATTTTGAACAAGGACCAACAACCAAAAACACCAGTATCATATGATCGTAATGAAACCTTGGAAAACTTTTTCGCTTCCCAAACCGAGAGTTTACAAGCTGAACAATTCGAATCACTTGAAAGTGCTTTTGAAGATTTCCAAAATTTAATCCGACCACCAACTAAAAACGATGAATTGAGATATATGTATCCACTCAAGGTTGGAGAAGAACACTCAGAAATTGAGGAACAAGTTAAGAATGATGTTGCTTTACAATTGGAAGGACTCACTGCTGAAGAAATTGATAAGATTTACTGTGATGTCAAATTGGAGAATGATATTTTGAAGCAAAAAGCATTACGTGACAAGAATGTTTCTATTGATGAATTTGCTATTAACACTGATATTGATTCCGAAAGAATTGCTTTGGAACAAGCTCGTCGTGCTTTTAGAGCTGTTAAGATTTCTCAAGAAAAATTATCACCTGTTGAAAGAAAGGTAGACCAATTAACAAAATCCTACACTTATTATTTACAACAAAAGAAGAGAGAACAATTAAATCAAGAGGAAAAGGATAGAAAAGAACAAATGTATAATGTATTTAAAAAACAAGCCGATACTAATCCAGAAGCCTTTAACACTTTCGCTCAAACCATTTTGAAAAAGAAGAACATTCCTGTTGATTTTATTCTTGAAAGTTATGTTAGTGGTATTCCAGTCGAAGAAATTGCTAGACAAATTTTGGCTAAGGAAAATTCACAATTAGCTAAACCAAGTTATGAGATTGACTCTTTTGCTGAAATCAGAAGAGTTGTTCAATCATACATTGATGCTAGACAAGAATACTGTCGTGACATTTTGGGTGTAAAGACAGGTAAGAGACATGCTACTGGTGTTACTTTATATGCTGATAGAGCTCTCGCTAAGGGTGATTCTCTTGGTTTCTTACGTGCTAGATTACTTGCCATTCGTGACCAAGACAGAATTGAAAGAACAATAACAAATCTTCACTCTGGTAACACTCTCACTAAGTCTCAAAAGGCTAAACGAAGTGAAAGATCAGGAAGACGTAGATACGAAGGTCAAAAGCTTGATAATACTATGAAAGTTTTCATGTGGGTAAAGAAGTACAGAAACAGAATTTTGAAATAAATTATATCAATAAA